TAAAAAACTAATAAAAGTTCAATGCATTTAAATTACAAAACACATTCCGAAAAGTATCTTATTTTAATAAAGACACGTCAGGGTGTACGAGTGAACATGCATGCTAAAATTTCCATTTAACCCTTAATTAATCCTGGGTTTGCTTAGGACTTGAGTAAATTTAGACAATGTAATGAGAGCTACAAAGTGACGATTACGAAATAGTTTTGGAGATTCTACTCATACTGTCAAGATTTCTTTATACAAAAGGTTTGTCATAATAATCAAAATTTAAAAATAAAAAAGGTAGAGAAAGAGCAAAAACGTTATATAAAATGTTAATTACTAGCTTTTGTATAAATAATTTTTTTATTTAGCGTTAAACGACCTGAGATTGACAGATGTTCTTACAACTTTCTTAAGGACTCAGCAAGAATTTCTTATTAAAAGTCAACAAGAATTTTTGGTCAGTTTTCATCAAATTTCCAAAATTTAACTCAAAATCAAGCCAAACTAAATGAAGAGTTTCGGATGGAAACCCTGCGTAAGAGTATCATAGAATTTCATTATGATCAGGAAACAGGGGCACTTTTTGATGTATGGTTCAAAAGATATCAAAGCCTTTTTACAGAAGATGCCAAAACTATTTCAGACCCCGCAAAAGTGAGACGTCTCCTAAGAAAATTAAACTCACAAATCCATAGAAGGTATGTCAGTTACATTTTACCTAAGGAAATCAACATCCTCTCTTCCCACAGTCGAAGAAATGTTTTCAGTGTCAAAACGCTACAATTTTTAGTAGGTATCATTGACCTTTCCTTCAAATTGAAATCTGAAGAATAAAGAAAATATTTAACAATTAACACTCATCATGGATTGTTCCAATACAATAGAATGAATGCCATTTGGTATTAAAGTTGCCTCAGCCATTTTTCAACAAGTTATGGATACCATGTTATCAGGTCTGAAAGGAACCACAGTATATATCGATGACATTTTAATATCAGGCCAATCAAAAAGAGAACATTTTGAAAATTTAAATCTTGTCTTAAAGCGTATAGAAGAATTCGGTATTCACTTAAAATTACCAACATTTAAATTTGGAGTCAAAGAAATTAGGTATTTGGGATATATTTTAAGAGAAGGTGAGTTAAAACCAGATCCAGGATCCAGCATAAACTGAAGATATCAGTAATATTATGCCACCGCCCCATGATATCAACACTCTATGTTTCTATCTTGGCGCAATAAGCTATTATGGTAAATGCAAAAATTTACAAAAATAACAAGTTCCGTTGGATTCCTGGTAGAATCATAGAACCAATTGGCAATCTGTTAATCTGTACAACATACCTACTAGTGTTTTATCCCAATATTCACAATATATTAAGAAGATGTCATACTAATCAAATTAAAAGAAGATATTATTATGTTGAAGAACCAAATCAAAGTTTTCCGATTCCATTACATTTTTTAATAAAAGAGTTTAATTTGTAAGACAACGTAGAACAACGCTCAGATCAGTGTGTAGATCAAAAAGTTATCATTGAAAATAAACCAGGTAATACCAATTCAATAGAATTCACAACAAATAATACAAATACTGAAGAAATCTTCGACTGTCAAGAACATAGTGCAGATACTTTTAGTTCTAATGAAGCTGTATTGTTGTAGTTAATCCGAACTACAACAATTTTGTAGAGAATCTGTAGGAAGGTACATTTCTATGATTTTCTTGGAAGCAAATAGTGGCTAACAATTATTATTTAAAGCTCGAATCAGGCTTTTAAAACCCTATTTATTTAAAGCAATTTAAAACCAATTTACATATTTCGACAAATAAAATATAATTTGATTTATTGCACCTATATAGAAAGCCAATTCGCATTTTAATGGAAATTTTCAATGTGGGTTACTGGACTGGAAGTAATCAAAATTCATATTATATTATTGGCGTTAAATCAATTCACCTGGACCGTTTGCCAAATAGAATTGGATTTTTGAGTTAAGAATCTAAGTGGCATTTAGTTTAGTATACAATGAAATTCTACATACGTTTCTACTATACTATAGAATTCCTAATGAGAAAATGGTATATCTAGACAGTTGCAAGTACATATTATATTTTTAAAAAAATAAGATATTTGGACTCTGTATGCAATATGTTTAAAAATATACTAATGCATGCAGCACGAAACTGATATGTGTAAATAAACCTTAATACTTTTGTTAAATACCGATTTATTCATTCTCAATTCTAAACATTATGTTTGCATTCTATAAATCAATAATTCCATACGTGTTAGAAAATATTAACTCAAATGATTTTCACCTATTGAAAATTAAAAAAAGTCCAGCTAAACGAGTAACAGAAATATTAATTGAAAAGCGTCAATGGTCTTTTGGGAAAACCGGTGGCTCGAAATTTTTATTTTTATTTCAAAATAACTGCTGCATTGTTAGATATAGTTAGAATGCAGCATTTTGATCAAAAGTTTCCAATGATAATGTACAAATTGTACAATATACACAAAAGTGTACACTGATAAGAAAATCCAATCGTCAAGAACAAGAAGGCGCTGCTTCAAAATAATCCTCTCTTTCTTGTAGGCGGTTGGTATATATGTATAAGGAGATTATCTAAGGAGGACAAAGCCCTTTTAAGGAAAATAGAGTAAGATAAGGGAAACGGCTTCTACTAATCCCCTGCTAGCAGCGGGATATTAGTTATTTTGCTCGACTTAATTGGCCGCGAAGGCTCTAATCGAAGAGGTTTCATTGAAATATATTTTTGGGGCTTGGATTTGGGTATTCAGTTAAAAAGTAAATATTGTCGATGGTGATTAGGATTTCTAGTATAACGACTTAACTAGGAAATTGAGTCTTGTTTATTACCATTATGATTTCGAGGATTATTTGAAAAGTTAATTACACATCTGGTTGAAATGAATCCACGCCCATTGCTTCTGAGATCCATCCATTTCAATATTAAAAAATAAATCTTTCTTCAGGGCATAGATGTAATCGCATCTACTTAGGAAGAATTCTACAATAATAGGATTGAGATTCTTTGAATCACATCAAGCACAATACAGGTACAAAGGATGTTCAGCCAAAATCTAAAAATAATTACGTCAGCTTTTCCTCAGAAAATGGGCCTCGGCGGAATTAGTCCCGCAAACTAATTTCTCTGTCAGCGGAAATAATTCTATTTAGGTCTTCCTGCTTTTATGTGCGCTTTTCTCCGAAAGACAATTCTCGGATTGCCGGCGAAATTTATATTTTCTTGCATTGCTCTAAATTCGAGAGTATTGATGTATATATAATATCTTTGTCGCGATTTATTTAGGAGAAGATTTTGAAAAGCATGGAACAGTGATTATTTACAACAATATTAAATAAAAAAATGTGTGTCATATTATTATAGTGGTGAGTAATACAGAGTAAAAGTGCATCAGAGTACTCGGAACATCTGAGACAATGTAAATTCCTAAGTTCTAAGCTTTAGTTCTAATAAACTTAAATACTACTCATCAAAAAAGCAGTAAAAGTTTTATGTTACAATCTAATCTTGCACTTAATTCGAAAGAAACAATAAACTTCCTACAAAACAGGAATAAAGATTTGATTTAAAAAATCACTTTCCACTTAAAAACTTGAAAAACACATCGTAACAAAGTTTCCATGACTTTTCTTCAAGTTTGTTTAGTTCAGCTTTAGTATATTTCGTCTATTGATTAAATATTGCATATTTTTCTCAAAGATGCAAATCCTACTCAGTAGGTACCTACTACCCTGGCAAAAAATAATTACGACTACAAGCATGTCATGTTAAACAATAAACTGTTCCAATACACTTCAATATAATGATGGATCGTTTTCAGCTGAAACTCTAACTTTTTGTTTGCTCTTGAGTCAAGGTATATATTAACAAAAATACAAGACGATTTCGTAAAGCCCTATCGTTAAGAACAAAAAAAAATCCTTACTGCGTCCAGACAAGACTAGTTTTTATAGGTTTTAGTAAGTCGTGTGGCGTTGACTTTGATAAATGGCCCTAGTGAAAGAAAAGATTCCCTTAGGAAGCATCTGCGGCCTCTTCAGCCAAACTTGGCCCGAGGGAAATGTAAGAAAACCCGAGAAATGTTTAGTGCGGTTTTAAATGAAATCTTCAAATTTAGGGCAATTACTATGCCAAGAAGCAACTGTGGAATCAGTTACCTCATAACATAAAAATATAAATATACACTGAACAAATTGAACAATGTTTAATTTTCCCCCTGTATACTGAGTTTGCATAGGAACGATCTAAGGTAAATTTCAAGTAGATAAAATCCATTTGACATCTTATCAAAAACCCATTTTCTCCGCTATAAAAACTATGGCTCACTCAGTAACCTTCGGAAGTGCCAAAGAAAGTCAACAAGAAAATGACGATTTACAAGTGTTTCTCAACCAAGGGCTGACAAAGCAAAACTCTGACACGAATCCCCGCCAACCCCAAGTCTTGTACAAAGGCAGAAACGTCAAAAAACCGAAAACAGTGGACGACGAGTTTCGTCAACTTCTAACCGATTTTACTCTGGACTGCGTCTTGACGCAACCCAGAGACGTGATTTTTTATGCAGCTGACTATTTCACTGAACTGAAACAGAAACGTGATCGATTGCTGGCTGACCAAAAACGGAAAGATGCGATAGCAGAAGCTGATAATAATAAAGATAGTGAAGAAAATGAGAAGGCCGGAAAAGAACCAGAAAATGAAGAAAAAAAATCCAGTAGTGAACACCTATTCGATTTCTTGATTTATACCGATGAAAATCCTCCGAGTTCCCAAGGCTTTCCATGGCTTCATGAACAGAACAATTTGTAACACGAATATTATATTATTATTACTCTTATTATATTATTATTACTCTTATTCAAAGGGCCTGCTTGTGTATTTTATTTTGAGCCTCTCTCTAAGTAATATAATTATTTGTTCAATAGAAGGATTGTTACATATGAGTGAAAATTCTCACCTGAAATCCAGAAGTTCCAGCTGACGATCCAGATGAACTAGGATGCAAGTGTGACGCACTAGTAGACCCATAATATTGGCTGTACGAAGTGTCCAAAATTTTTTTGTGCGCGGACGCGTGTGCGCGGTACGCTGAAACACTTAGCTTCATTTTTTACTCATTGTATCTTTATCACTTTACAGTTTCATTCGAAAATCGGAACATTGTATTTGCGCGATTCCTATAGTTAAGGCCGTATTGGAAGGTTTATTGAGCGGGAAACTGTAATACAAAAATATTCCTAATTAGAAACCTTACATAAATATGAAATAATAATTTTGAAATTGAATAATAAGAAGTAAAAGTTGAGAATTCAAACTTTACTCGCCTTGCAATTATGAAGCTTGTGCGAGAACGTGGATTATTTTATAGGTTTCTGAGTTCACGCTGCTATTGCGCGAGCTTTCTTTGGCAAGAGTTTGCGATTGTTGTGCGTCCCGAACAATGAAAATGAAAATTTGATTTCGATTGTTGAGTCGCAAAACTTGTTTCGTTGTTGGTGTTGAGGCCTGGAAAAAAATATTCAGATCAGAATGTGTTTATTTGTTTAGTATTTGCATGCCTAAAATTAGATACCTACGAAAATAAATGAATAGAGAGGTTCAGAAAATCACAACTTATTTGAAATCAAAGTAGGTTCTTTCATTAAACGACATCTGCTAACAGATGAGCATTGATATACTATACCTACATACAGAAACAGCTAGAATTTAAATAGAGGTTATATCATTAAAAAAAAATCAATGGCAAGACATGATGTATGATTTAATAGAGAGTAGGTTGTAGTTTATTGATTGTTGAGTTGATTATGACCTTGTACAGTTCATAGCATATAAGTTGCAATCCATATCTAAAAGCCTCTCTATGAACTTCCCAAATAATGCATAACTCAGCTGGATACGTTACTCAAACTCTTTCTGTTGGAATATTCTAAGAATGATAATGTTTTTGTCCCAAATATGTACTTTTCTCGCATTTCTATTATAATTGTAGTTTCAGCAGCTTATTGTATTGCCCACAACTTTTAAAAAAGGTGCAGACCCGTTCAGGTCGGACATGCTTTATTTCATCTGGTTCCAGAAACCTGTACCCAAGGTATCGTAGTTTGCGACTGAGTAGGGCGTCACATTTGCAGACTCTATACTTCTCAGCTGTAGTTTCATCTACTTCACTGCATTCCGTCTCATTACTGAGTCCGATTTTGTGCAGGTGGAATTTGACCATCCAGTGCCCCGAGATATGTAACTCATATTTCAGCCATCAGTTCAGGGCACCCGTAGTGGCAAGGTTCTTCACCTTATAATATTATGGTCATAACTATTTTGTCTAACATGCATTTTTATCTTTTACTTTACAGTCAATATTCAAACTCAATTTTTGGAGTTACTCTGTTAAAGTCAAAATTATTATTAAAGTGTATTTTTCGAAATAAAATTATTTTTTAAAAAGTGATTCCTAAGAAGAAATTCTTTAACTGGCGCAGTCGTGGTAGGATCTCAGAAGACCTTTTGGCACATACTCTTTGGAAGTAGCTCTTCCTGAAGGGGATCCAGAAATTCGTCAGTCTCAACTATTTACTGAGATCAACTTAGAACCGAGGAAAAAAAGTAATAAGTGAGCTCCTTCCATATCCATTTACATGCTTCCCAATTTCTTTGAAACTGAACTAGCTGTCACTGTCCTTATGTCAAAGTCTCCAACCGATCTTCGAACAATCTTAATGTTCCAAAATCCCCAAAACCTCGAGGATGCAAATGCTATTGTCGTTAATCATTCTCTATTAGAACAACAGATAAATGCTCGATCATTTGTGCCCAACCAAAATAATCAGCCATAACCAATAAGCCACCACATAATAAAAATAACCAATGGGACATTATTGTCATTTCCCAGCCAGCCTAATAAAATTCAACCTCTAGGCAAGTTCAACAAAACTTCCCTACCAATAGGCAAATTTTCGGAAAATTGAAAGACGTATTCTCTAAGGAAAATTCGAACAAACCTACTGGCAACCCAACACCGATATCAACAACAAGCAGAATCCCCTTTGAGAGTACCTTGTCTCAAAGGCCAACTATGCGCGAAAATTTCAATAACTTCCAACGCAATTCCTTCACTCTCGCAGAATTAACCCATTTGCAAGAAGACGCTTCTGCGTATCCTTCGAACGAAACATCAGAAGATTACAACGCCGAAAATCATTCCCAATGTGAGCCTGAAAACAACGAATATTATAATGCTGAAGAATTCGATAATCCCCAGTCCGAGCCGACAAATAACGTAAGTTTTCGCGAAATTCCCACTGAAACCAGTCCGCCCTAAATCTAAATAGTTTTCAAGCCAATTTTCTCTCATATATAGAAATTCAAAATCCAACAGCCAAGCTTATTATTGATACAGGCAGCCACACTTTTTTAATAAGATCAATTATTGCCGAACAACATTTTCCAAATTTAATCTATAATTTAAAACACACTTTCCTTTCATGCACTGGACACATACACACCCAGTTCAAAGCAAAAATCCTCTTGCTAGGCGAATACGGTTCAAACACAGAACTTGAAATAATTGAATTTCCATGACCACTACGATGGGATCATTGGCATACGAGATCTACGTAAACCAAATTTAAATATAGATCTAACGAACAGAAGACTTTTTAATGATCCAACAGAAATTCCTTTAGTCTATCGTGACGATTTTAGTATACAGAAAATTGAAATTCCACCGTTCACTATGCTTATAAAGAACATTAACATCAATATTCCTGACGAAACAGAAATTTTTGTTTGATATAATAGAGATTCCTTCCTTGCTTTTATTAGTACCTACGAAATGTTCCACCAGAAATTCGAAACCTTAGTAATGAAACTATTATAATACATTTTAACTCGAATTCCATCGAAGAAAAAGCTGAAATTTTTAATTCAGAAGTCTCTGAACTTTTCAATATAGAGCAAATTCATGCGAAGCCATTTGCACCTAGTGATTCCGAAAATTGTGATTTTTCTCTTATCAGATCAGACCACTTGAATTCAGAAGAACGAATAGAATTTAAAAAAATTAATATTGCAATTCAGCGACATCCTCTATAAGCACGAACAAATACTAATTTTCATTCACCAAATCAAACACGAAATCCAAACGGCAAACGGCAAACGAAATTCCATTCCACACAAAATCTTATACAGATACCCTTTTATTCACATTATGTGTGTGTGGATCGTCCCAAAAAAGCAAGACGCCTCAAGAAAACAAAAATAGCGTATCGTAATTGACTATCGCAAAATAAATGAGAATGCGATTGATGATTGTTACCCAATTCCCAACATTTCTGACATACTAAATAAACTTGGCAGAAGTCAATATTTCACAACCCTCGATTTGGCCTCAGGGTTCCATCAGATCGAAATGGATCCAAAGTCAGCCTTCTATATCGAAAATAGACATCTCGAGTACATCAGAATAACATTTGGCTTAAAAGATGCTCCAGCAACTTTCCAGAGGGTCATGGATAATGTCCTCAAAGATCTTCAAGGAAAAATATGTCTCGTTTACATGGACTCGACTGCTCTACAAGAACATATTACTAATATCGAAATAGTTTTTGTCCGACTTAGGGAACACAACCTTGAAATTTCTTCAAAAAACAGTTGAATTTTTAGGTCACGTTATAACTCCTAAACGTATAAAACCATCTTAAAAAAGTTGAGGCAATCAAAAAATTTCCTATCCCTGAAACACCCAAAGAAGTCAAGTCTTTTTTAGGTCTTATAGGGTATTATAGGAAATTCAACACATATTTACGCTTTAGAACCCAAATTAGCAAATTATTTCAAAGGTGCTAGATCTCTCTTAGAAATTTATACAGGAGTAAATACATATTAAATGAGAAGTTTAAAAAAAATCTTTGCCAAACCCTAGTGCTTTCAAACTATAATTACTGTAGTATTGTTTACTCATAATTTCTTGACGTGGCGTGCAGATACAAACTTCATAAAACTCAGAACAGTTGCATTCGTTTTATATATGGGCTTAGGACTAGAGATCATGTTAGTTGCAAATTGCGGGAACTAGCTCATTGTGCAGGATAGGGCTAAGCTATAGATATGAAAAGGAGAAGAAAACTGAGTTCCAATTCATCTTGGACATACCAAAATTCTCGTATGTAGAAAAAAAAGAAGCTCTGAAACTACATGATCAATCAAAAAACAAAAAGTTAGCCCAAGTTTTCCGAACTTCAGGAGGGAGGAGATATTAGGTAACTCATATTTCAGCCACCAGTTCAATGCACCCATAGTGGCAATGTTCATCACCTTATATGGTCATAACTATTGTGTCTAACATGCATTTTTATCATATCTAAGCAATAGCGGATACAGTGGGGGGCAGGGGGCCAAAGCAAAACCATATTTTAAGTTTTAAGAATGTTTAGAAAGCTGGAAACCTATAAAAAAATCACACTTTTGTCTTTGTCCCAATAACTTTAACCTCAAACAGTATATCATTAGTGGTTGAGTTGATGTATTGTTTTTTTTTTCAATAAATATTCATACAAAATCAATAGAATTATAATCTATTCACAATCCGAAGTCCGAACTAGAGGTAAGATTTATCAACTTTCAGTTGGTAGTTGATAGGGATTTTATTTTTATTACCTTCATAAGTTGGTAAACATTTTTATGTCTTTGGGAGGTTATGATGACAAACTGAAAAATAGCAGAGCAGGACTGAAGCATATTTTGATACTTTTAATACCGTTGAAGTGAAACAATAATCTTGTATCTCTCGTTTTGAATGGCGAAGAGAATATTGTCCATGACTCTTTGGAATGTGGACGGAGCATTTTTCAATCCAAATGGCATACGTACGAATTCGTAATGGCCATTTTCTACGGAAAAAGCGGTTTTCGAAACATCCTTGGGGCCTACTTCTATTTGGTAAAACCTGAGGCTAGGTCAAGGGTGGTAAAATATTGACATTTTCCCAATTGGATACTAGGCAGCGGGTATTTGTCGTCTACAGTAAGCTCGTTGACTTTACGGTAGTCGATTACGACGCGCCATTTGATGGGTTCGCCAGAAGTATCAAGTTTCTTAGGAACGACCCAGACGGGAGAAGACCATGGAGATACAGAATGGCGAATTATGCTTGGTTTAGCATTTTGGTTTCATGTTTATTCAGCAGAACATAACATAACATTGTATAAGGTCAAAATTAGTCAATGTTAGAGAGTGTATTTCAAAGCTCAAATGGATAGGTATAGGCAGGACATGTCACACGACTGACGGATGGGAGATGGACCAAAAGAATTCTCGAGTGGCGGCCTAGAAGTGAAAAACGCAGCCTTGACTGACCTTGCACTAGCTGGTCAGACGATATCACAAAAATAGAGAAAAATGGAAACACCTTGAGGTGTCCATAATTTCTCCATCAAAATCAGAATCTATCAAGCTTTCGGAATCAGAATCTGACTCATTGAAGCGGATGATGATAAAGTATGTTTTTT